GATATTGCAGAAACGTATTTTCATAATCAACTGGCACTACAGCATTGCGTAAGTGCTATGTTAATTAACACACAAAGGCACACGGACACACACAAACAAAACAAAATAAACAAGAAAACGAACCAAAAAAACGATACAACAACAAAAACACAAACAAAGACATTTTTACAAGACGACAAGCAGCACAAAAAAAACACGAACAAACACACAAACAAAAAACAAAACAAATAAACCAGCACATAACAATAACAAACACACAAACAAAGACACTTTTGTAAGATGACCCACATGAGGAACTTAGTCATCACTTCTCACCAAGAACTTCCGTTTGTGTCGCGCACTGTGCATTCTTCAGGGTTGGGGGGAGAAAGAGGAGGAGGAGGAGGGAGAGATATTTTGTAAATGATCATTTTGTGAATAATAATAATGATAATGATAATGATAATGATAATAATGATAATAATAATAATAATGATAATAATAATAATAATGATAATGATAATAGTAATAATAATAATAATTAATACTTGATTTATATAATGCAAAGTAATTTTGTGTGTGTGTGTGTGTGTGTGTGTGTGTGTGTGTGTGTGTGTGTGTGTGTGTGTGTGTGTGTGTGTGTGTGTGTGTGTGTGTGTGTGTGTGTGTATGTACGTGAGAGCAAATACGTGTGTATGTGTATATGCATGTGTTACGGATTACGTGCGCGTGAGAGCGTCACTGCTTGTATGTGTGTAGGCTACATGTGTGCGTGGTCGAGCCTATATTAGGTAATAAATATGTGTCAATATCTATTCTTTTATATCTCTCTCCCCCCCTCTCTCTCTCTCTCTCTTTCTCTCTCTCTCTCTTTCTCTCTCTTTCTCTTTCTCTTTCTCTCTCTCTCTCTCTCTTTCTTTCTCTCTCTCTCTCTCTCTCCCTCCCTCCCCACTCTCTCTCCCTCCCTCATTCCCCCCCCCCCCCCCTCTCTCTCTCTCTCTCTCTCTCTCTCTCTTCTCTCTCTCTCTCTCTCTCTCTCTCTCTCTCTCTCTCTCTCTCTCTCTCTCCCCTCTCCCTCTCTCTCTCTACTACCAACAACAACAAACGTAATAACAATGGGACAACAACAACAACAAACAACAACCACAGTGTTGACAAAAAGAGAATTTGATGACGAATAGGCCCCGGCGTCAGCTGACTGCGCCGAACAAAGCGAAAGGCTTCAAAGCACTCGCTCATCAACACCATAACAACACCATAAAGACAACGGCGCAACGACAACACTGTAAGGATGACACCACCACGACAGCGACACCATAGCACTGAAGAGGCGACACCGCGAAGTGATATGATAACATCATAAGACCAACGAGGCATCATCACCGCACTATAACATCACCATAACGCCAACAAGGCATCAGCACCGCACTATAACATCACCATAACGCCAACAAGGCATCATCACCGAGCCATGACACCATAACAACAACAAGGTACCATAAATACACAATAAGAGACAGTGAGATAAACAGACAAACAGACAGACAAACAAACAAACAGACACAGAAAGACAGACAGACAAACAGACATTTTGTTTCGTATTTTTGTTGTCTTTCTGTTTACTCTCTTTTTCTCTCGTCTTTGTTTTATTTATTTATTTATTTATTTATTCATTTTCCTACACTCATTTTCTCTTTTTTATATTCGCTCTCTCTCGTCTTTTTTATTCTTCTTCTACTCTTCTTCCTCCTTTGTCTCTTATTTCTCTCTCTCTCTCTTTCTCTCCCTCTTCCCTTCTCTCCCTCCACACCTTTCCTTCTTCCCTCCACTTATCTCCCCTATCCTCCTTTCTCTCCTTCCCTTCCCTTCCTCCTCCTCTCCTCCCCCCGCCCCTTTTACGCCTTTTCTTCTCCCACTGTCTTTCTTCACCTCTTCCCTTCCCTCCATTCTCGCCTCTTCAATCTCTCCCTTTCCTCTGTCTCTCTACATCTTTTCCTTTTCCCTATCTTCACTTTCCTCCTCTTTTTCCTCCTCTCCTCTCTTCCCTCCCTCTTCTCCCATTCCTTCCTTTCCTCTCTCTCTCCACATATTTTCCTCCTCTCTTCCTCCTTTTTCCTGCTTTTTTCCTCCCTTCCTCTCTCTCTTCTCTCTCCCTCCCATATTTTCTCCCACTTCCCTTCCCTCCCTTTCCTCCCATTCCTCCCTTTCCTCCCTCTCCTCTCTCCCTCCTTACCCCCCCCCCCCCCGCCCCCCCGCCTCATCGTCACGTGTCTCGTTGGCCAGCGCCTCCCACGGGCCGGGATGAGAGCGATGACGTCAGAGCGATGACGTCAGAGCGGTGACGCCAGGGCCTCTGCCGCGCGCTTGGCTGACGTGGGCAAACAATCTCTCTCTCTCTCGCTCTCTCTCTTTCTCTTTCTCTTTCTTTCTATTTCTCTTTTTTTCTCTTTCTCTTTCTTTCTCTTTCTCTTTTTTTCTCTTTCTTTCTCTTTCTCTTTATCTTTCTTTCTCTTTCTCTCTCTCTTTCTCTTTCTCTCTCTCTCTCGTTTTATTCTTTTTCCCTCTCTCTTTAACCTTCTCATCGTCTCTCTTCTCCATCTCTCTCTCCTCCTTCTCTCCCCCCCCCCCTTTTTCCCGAACCCTATTCCTCTCTCTTGATAAAAAAAATAAAAGTCTTGCGTATTATCGGTTTGCCAGAGTGGTATGGGGAGGGGGGTAGGGGGTAGGGAAGGGGGTAGGGGATAGGGCAGGGAGATGGGAGGGGGGGAGGGGGGAAGGGGGGAAGCAGATGGTCCTGAGAACCTTTGATGTATTTTTTTTCTTTTTTTTTTTTTTTTTTTTTTTGCTTCAGACAATGCTTTCGGAACCGCCAATCGATAATTTGAATACTAATAGTGTGAAAAAAACAACAACTCTACGTGGGTAGATTCTGCGTAATGCACTGAGGTGAAATTATGGTGCAACGATGGGAGAATTATGCAAAAATGTTGCAGTGAAGGGCGGGTGTCGTTATGCAAAATGTGATAAATGCAATCTGGATAACAGCAATGCTCATAATCAAACTACTACTAATTTTACAACTATTAGTGCTACTACTACTATTACTACTATCATTACTATTACTACTATCACTACTATCACTACTATCATTACTATCACTACTTCGAATACTACTACAATTACCATTGCTACTACAGATACTACTACTGCTACTTCTGCTACTACTACTACTACTATCCTTACTACTACTGCTATTACTACTACTTTTATTACTATTATTGCTATTACCTTTATTCCCGTTCCTCAATTCTTATTTTTTCTTGTATTCTCATTGTTCTTGCGTTTGTTTGTTTGTGTGCGCGATTTGGTTGTTTGATTGTGTGTGTGTGTATGCGTATGTGTGTGTGTTTGTTTGTTTGTCTGTTTGCGTGTGCGTGTGTATATATGTGTGTATGTGTTTGTTTTTGTTTGTTTGTCTGTTTGCGTGTGCGTGTGTATATGTGTGTGTTTGTTTTTGTTTGTTTGTCTGTTTGCGTGTGCGTGTGTATATGTGTGTGTATGTATTTGTGTTTGTTTGCTTGTTTGTTTGTGTGTGCGTGTATCAAAAAGTGAAACCTACATAAATAATAACTCTGCAAGATCATTAAATTCATTGTGGTGATGAAATAGTTGTGTCATATCATTAACTGCTTGTGAAACATACTAATATATATGTGATGCGAGGCTGTAGGTGATGTGATATGGTGGATAGTGATGTGATTGTGATGTGATGGTGACGAAGTTGATGTGGTGTATTATCTGATTACGAAAGATAGTGACGAAGAGGGCGACGCTGTAGGTGATGTGATACGGTGGATAGTGATGTGATTGTGATATGATGGTGACGAAGATGATGAAAGGTTCTCTCGCATATATGATTGTGAAAGATGGTGATATAATGTAAAAAAAAAAGATAACATTATTTTATAAAATATATCTACATATCGTATCTAAACGGTGACTTGGGAGATAAAACTGATGTAAAGGAAATGACACGCAGAAGATAAGGACAGACGTGATAAAGAAGGTGAAGAAGAAGATAGGAGAGAAGGAAATATTAATTTGGTATTGATGAGCGTCGCTGATAAGCTATCTGATAAGAGGAACTGTGGGTAAGCGGTCTTTTTCATGCCGTTGATGTTACTTAATATTCATCCAAGGAAATGAAAGTGTCTTCCTTATACTTACTGGTGGATTTTATTATCTTATTTTATCTTTTATCTTTTCATCTGTACGTTTTTTTTTTGTTTTTTTTTGTTACCGATATGCTTATGTTCTAGTCATACGTATTTATGGAATATATAAGCTGTGTATATGAATGAAAGAAACCGAAAGAGTAAAAAAAAACAAAAACAAAACAAACAAACAAATCCTCCGTCTATGCCATCATTAAAACAATAATGATTAAACTTATCGAGGCGAAGATGCATTTGACAGGTCATTGATGATTAAGGACAGGTTGGTAATGGTATTTATTTGATAATTGACAACTTGGTAATGATGATTTGAAATGCAAATGCGTCTTTGCTTCGTTAACAACAAACAACAACAACAAACAACAAAAATGGGTATAGAGTATGTTTTTGTTTTTATTTTTTTTCGGTGAGAGAGTAAGTAACGAAATATTTTATATATTTTCATAATAATGACAGTGATAACTATTTACTACTATCATTATCATCAATCCTGTTATTTTCATTAATGATGTAATTATTATCATCAATATCATTTCATTGTCATTTTACTTTCATAGTCAGGGTAATAAAAATGAAGGGTTAAAAATATATGATATTCCAGTAAGTCATTATTCCCTTTGATACTATTTTCTTCTATTTAGAAATTCATCCCCCTACTTACTTCCCCAGCTAAGACTCTGATTCCATTTTTTTTCCCTTTTTTATCCTATTTCTTTCTTTATTTCTTTCTTTATATATATATTTTTTATTACATATCACGCGCCTAACCGCCCTCTCCCCCCCCAGGACCTCCCCTGGCCGGCTGGTACAAGAGCGCGACGATGACCCGCGGCGGGGGCAGGCGGGTCCCCCCCCCGGCACCCGCCCCCGGGCCCGCCCTCGTCCCCCGTCCCCGGCGCCTACGATGATCGGCGGGGAGCATGGCAGCACAGCGCCCACGCCCGCCCACCCGCCCCACGACCAGTCATCAGCGCTGCGGAAGAGGAAGCGCCTCAGTCAGGTGGTGCTGGAGCTGACCTCGCAGGCCGAACGTCGCTCCCCCGAAGACAAGCCGCCTCCGCCCCTCCCGCTCGCCCCCGCGGCGCCGGACCGCCCCGGCGCCCCCCCGCCGCACGACACCGCCAGCGGCCCGCCCCGCGACGCCAAGCCCCCGCAGGACAGGCCCCCCGACCAGCTCCCGAACGCCTTGTCCTCGCAGCCGCCGCCAGCCGAGAAGGAGCCCATGTTCAGCCGCCAGCCCGAAGATGCTCCCCCGGGGCCCGGCCACGACCAGGGGGAGGAGGCCGGCCTCAGCCCCGGCCTCAGCCCTGGCCTCAGCCCCGTGCCGGGCCATAGCCCCGTCGCTGGCCACAGCCCCGTGCCCGGACACAGCCCAGTGCCCGGCCACAGCCCCGGCCTCAGCCCAGGGCTCAGCCCAGGGCTCAGTCCCGGCCTCAGCCCCGGCCTCAGCCCCAGGGTCACTGTCCAGGACGAGACCGGCCAAGAGGCCATGAAGGTGGACACACCGCCTTCGCCCAAGGAGGGCCCAGGGGAGGCAGGAGGCACCAGCCCCCTGCCGGAGGCCCAGCAGCAGCAGAGGTCGCCTGGGGTCATCCAGGTGCACAGATCGGGCGAGGGCGGCAGCAGCAGCACCAGCAGCACCAGCAGCAGCTGCGGCAGCGCCGGCACCGCGCGCTCGCCCCGCGCCGTCCAGAGCGACGTGTTCCGGTTCGACTCCCTGGACCGCGAGCGGTACCTCTGCCGCGCCATCAGCGAGGAGGACGAGGAGGTGTTCTCGCCCGGCCTCCCGTCGCACAGTCCGCACGCCAGGGACTCGCCCGCCCTCGCCAGGGTCAACTCCGACTCGCCCAAGCTGTCCTTCAGCCCCCTCAGGATCAAGGACCCCAGCATCGATGAGGAGGACCTGGACCTGGACTCGAAGTCGTCGTGCACGGCGTCCTCGCTGGCGTCCGGCGACCCGCCCGGCGTCGGCTCCGTCATCCGCGGCATCCTGCCCAAGCTGAGCGTCGTGCGCAGCGACGCCTCCGACCCCGGCGGGCACTACCAGCCCTGCACCTGCCAGCACTGCGCCCTGTCTGCACGGGACCCGCACCGCCTGGGCCCCGCGGGCGTCCCGCACTCGCCCATCTCACCGCTCACGCCCTCCTCCCCGCACACGCCCATCTCGCCCTCCCCAGGACACAATGTCGAGCACTACTTCCCGCCCACCGTCTACCTGCCCGACCTGTACCGGCGCCGCTCGCACTCGGACTCGGACCTGCAGCTGTGGTTCGACCAGAAGGCGCGCTCCAGCGAGGTGCCCGCCAGCAGCGGCGGCCAGACGTCGGCGGGGCCCTCGGGCGAGCAGCAGACCTCCGCCACGCGCGGCTCCGTCCTGCGCCACGGCCGCCCCATCCCGCAGCCGCTCTACCTGCCCCGCAAGGGCGGCTCCCTCGAGTCCGACAACTCCACGCCGCAGGACTCGCCGCTCGACCTGTCCGTGAAGACGGCCGGGAGCGTGAAGACGGGCAGCTCCTCCAGCACGGATAGTCTAGTCTTGCCGGGCTCGGTGCCCCTGTCGTCGCCGCACTCGCCCCACCTGGCGGCGCCGAAGGACATCACCCCTCCCCCCAGGTCCCCCGGGGCGCCCGACCACCGCCAGACCTCGGCTTCGTCCCTGCCGGTGCCCGTGGTTAAGGGCGACGTGGCCTCCTACAGCACCAAGGACAGCGTGGCCCTCCGCTACCACCTCGAGGTGTCCCCCGTGGTGGAGGAGATGCCCCCGGGGGCGGACGTGGCCTTCGTGTGCCCCGTCTGCGGCCAGATGTTCTCGCTGCACGACCGCCTGGCCAAGCACATGGCGTCGCGGCACAAGAGCAAGCAGGTGGACAGCACCAGCAAGACGTACATGTGCGACGTGTGCAAGCGCTCGTTCGCCCGCTCCGACATGCTCACGCGCCACATGCGGCTGCACACCGGCCACAAGCCGTACACCTGCCGCGTGTGCGGACAGGTGTTCTCGCGCTCGGACCACCTCTCGACGCACCAGCGGACGCACACGGGCGAGAAGCCCTACAAGTGTCCGCAGTGTCCGTACGCCGCCTGCCGCCGCGACATGATCACGCGCCACATGCGGACCCACGCGCGCTACGAGCTGCACGAGTCGTCGTCCATGGAGGAGGGCGGCGAGGTCGCGCGCCCCAGCCTGCCGGTGCGGTCGCTCTCGGAGGAGCACCCGGCGCCCTCGCCGCTTCTGGACCTGCCCGGCCTCTCCGCGCCCCCCAAACACACCCCGCAGGGCTCGCCCGGGCCCCACGCTGCCAGCGGCGGCGGCGGGGCGCAGAAGCAGGCCCTGGGCGCCCCTCCGGGCATCGCAGGGGTGGGCCTGGCCGGGCCGGGCATGTCGGGGCACCTGCCGCCGCAGATGCAGCGACCCCGGAAGCAGGAGGAAGACTGAGGGGGGCCAGCGCCACTCGTCTGGTTCCTGTTTTTGCCTCGTTGAGGTTTGTCTCTGGCTGGAGGTCGTCCCTCCTTGGCAGGGAGGCCGCTGGTGGCCAGAGGCGCGCCCAGCCTCTCGGCGTTGTTTGTGTGGCGGAGGCGGCCCGCCGTGCCCCGTGCCGCCGTGCCGTCGTGCCCGCTGCGGCCGTGGCCAGCCCGGCGCCTGGCGCGACCTGGGCCTGGTCTGTCCCTGTCTGTCTGTCTCTCCGGCTGCCCGGTTCGGTCTGCCCGGCCGCAGCCCCCCCTCCGCACCCGGCCGGGCGCCACCGTCACGGGCGGGCTGCGGCCGGGCAGCCGTGTTGGTGTCAGCACGTGGGTGTCTCAGTGTCAGTGGTCACGTGTTGTGTCGTGTGTAAGCCGCATGCGGCGTCTCGGGCGGCGGGTCTGCCGGAGGTCACGCCCAGTGTGGGGGAAGAGGAGGTTCCTCCCGACGGAGCAGCCCTGGAGAGGAGAAGGCGCTACAGCTGGAGCTGCTCCTCCCCCACGATCACCCTCAAGTATCTCGGTGTGAAGAGTGTTCGCCTGCGGTGCCCGGGCCTCGGTGCTCTGCTGGGGCGCCGCTCCCTCGCGCGGGAGATCGCGCTCCCCCCTGCTCGGGGGCGCCAGAGGTCTATCGATTGTACCTGCTAATTTAATTAAATAGATATATTATGTTACGCTAAGCCAAGCGCCCCCGCGGGCACCAGGGAGCCCGGGCCCTCGAGGAAGGAGTTGTGGTCGTGGCGGCCGGACCCTCGGGCCCCTGGCTCGACGCCGGGGGCCAGACCTTCGCCGGCGCTCCCCGGGCTGCCCTCAGCCCGAAGGGTCCGCCCGGCGCCCCAAGGCCCAAGTACAAGAAAGGTCGGCAGGTCCAGTCCAGCGCAGAGGGTCCGGCTGCGCACGCCGGCGGTGGAGATGCTGGTGTTCTCGGGTAATAAGTCCTCTGTGTATTATCATGCATTGGTCATGTTCGCCTCATGTGAATAATAACGATTCATGACTGTTTCTGTTTCTTGTGTTTCAACCGGCCGCGGCCCAGAGCCTCACACCACCCCCCCACCACCACCACCCCACCCCCCAAAGGCTACCCACCCCAGCTATGTCTCTCTTGGTAGTTGAACGCCACCGTTTGAGGTATCTACTGTGTATATTTTGATGTCTTTCTTTTTCCCCCCCGAAGGAGAAAAGAAAATATAAAAAAAAAGAAATCGTACAAGCTACAATTATTAGATGACACACTTCTCCTAAACCACTCTCACGCACAGAGGCACTAAAAGCTGCTGGATAATTATTAAGTGGCCCTCCCTCCCTCCCTCCCTCCCTCCCTCCCTCCCGACCCTCCATACTCCCCCTCCCCCCCTCCCCACGTACCCTCCAGCCCCCAACCCCCAAGCTGGCAGAAGTGTAATATTATTGGCTCGACCTCGTAATCCGCATTACACCCCTCCCCCCCTTTCCCCCCTTCCCCCGCCTCCTTCCCGCTCCCCTTCCCCCCCACTCCTTCCCTTCCCCCCCTCTCCCCTCCCAACCCTCGTGTTCTAAATGGAACTCCCCCCCTCCCAACTCCCCTCCCCCCTCCCGCCACCTAATTAGCGGTTGGCAGTGATTGTGATTATTGTAAAGTTTTTCCCATAGAGTGCTCACTATCTTACGTTTCTTAAGAGAACTATAGAGCTTATTATTATTATCGTAATTATTAAAATATTACTGTTTCCATTATGATAATTATGATCATTTTTGATTATTTCAACAAGTTGACTACTTATATGTGACATGGTAAACTAAAGTACCTCTTAAGCACATAAATATTAAGGTAATTTTCCCTTGTGGATATAAGGATGATAAAATACCAAATAGTTGAAGAAGAAAAAAAATAATAAAACTCTCTAAAAGCTCTTGGATTGAAGCTATGGTCCACGTCGTCAAAAAAAAGAATAACGAAAATGTGATTGATAAAGAATAAATAAATAATTAATAAACACAATCATAAGAAAAAAGAAAAATCTATCACTTTTTTGTCTCGAAATAAAAGACCATATGATAAAAAAATTTGAAAATCATTAACCAGAAAATTTTTTAGCTCCGAAATTACAATTTTTTTTCCGGACGTGGACCAAAGTTTCCTTCCATCGGAGACAAAGCTCACCCTACAGCATATATAGAGTCTGTGTTGCATTAATTAGCTTGTACCGTGAAACAAAGCTTCCCTTCTGTCAGAAGTCTGAATTCTATTGCATTTCAGTCGTAAAGCAGCTGCGCAATTTACTGGTCTTTCCTTCCAAGAAAAAAAAAGAAGAGAAATTTATGTTTCTTTGTCAAAACCAAAAAAATTAAAAAAATATATATATTAAAAAAAGAGAGGAAAAGAATGAAGAGGCGTGATAGGGAGTACACACAAAGACAGTTATATAGAGATATAGATATATATATAGATATATATTTGTTTATTGCCATCTTATTCATATGTGCCAAATTTTCGTTTCATTTTCTTTTTTCCCCTCCCCCCCAAAAAACATAAAATTTCTTAGTCAGTTGCCGCCCGCCTCAAAATATATGTAAAAAGCCTATCCTTTCTTACAAGAAAAAACAAACAAAAAAATTGTATAAGACAATTTTTTAT